AATCTTGAAGAGAAAGAAGGTAAATATGCAAAGACTTTCGCCAAGATTTAGGTCACAGCAATGTTTCTTATGCAAGATATGCGGAGAATTTTTTTACCAAATTTTTTACCCATTTCAAAGATTCCCGCTTTTAAAGATTCCCCATTTTAAAGACTCCCGCTTTTAAAGATTCCCCCTTTTTAAAGATTCCCCGTTCCCCGTTCCCCGTTCCCCGTTCCCCGTTCCCCGTTCGCCATTCCCGTTCGTCGATTTCCCGTTCCTCGTTTTAAAGATAGCCTTCATCTGCACTGTTCTTACCATTTTTGCGAATTGTCGCGTAATTTTAACTAACGTACTTTTGTATTCGATTCCCTGCTGAGCTCGATTAAAATTCCCGTTTCTGCATTCGTTTAAGGTGGCTCCCGATAGTTTTACGATCGCACGCGCACTGAGGATGAAAGTTCAAGTACTCTGCGCGCGCTCGAAGGAAAATGTCAGTATTTTTCGATATATTTATGACGTCGACATGAGTACAAAAAGCAAAACTGACAGTAAATTTTCTCGCGTTTCCTTCGGTGAAATTCCGTAAAATTTGGCAGACTCCTAGTACACATTTTTCTTTAGACGGAGTTCAGGGAAATCTATAAGACCAGTTTTTTTTTTGCAGCGGTAAAAGACATAAATTTGCAAAAATCGAAAAAAACTGCTCGTACAAACCCTACCTTTTTCGTGTTTGAGATTCGTACGGCCGCAGGATGCGATGTGCTGTGAAAATGTCGGAAGATTTCACCGATGGAAATTCAAGAAAATCACAAATAAAGCCACACTTTTGCTTGGGCATTTATAATTCAAGACTAAAACCCAAAATGTTAACAGAGAAGATAATAGAACACCATTCAAACACTATGCAAAAGCGAATGCAAAACCGGCAATCAAGACATAAGACTTGTGCTCGCAACGTCATACAATGTAAATGATTTCCCAATGGAGCCACCTTAAAGGCCTCTCTTTCAATTTTCGTCCTCTTGGCGGTGCTGGTTGTTGAATTGCGGTAAATTTATAGCACATCTTGTTAAGGGGCCCTTGGCTGATATGGTGTAGCCGACGCATATTGGGAAGAAACTAGCTTAAACA